TATATGCAGAATAACTTTATGAAACACAACTCTGTGAATGACAAAAAACAAACAAAAAACCAACAAACCCAAAAACAAACTCTGAGGACACACCTGATCAAGCTCCTGAGCTGATGTGCCAGTTCTGGTTTAGGAGGTTGAGCAGATCATCTGATAATTGAAAGGCTGGTTTTTCGATCCTTAACCCGAAGTTGCTCTCTGATGAATCCTTCAGAGTGTGAATGTTAGAGAGAAAGTACTTATTTAGAAAAAGCATTGAGGGCAGGGAAAGTGCGGTAGTTTAAATACAGCATGTTGTACACAGTGCTTTGAGCACTCAGGTAGAGTATACCAACGTCTTTGTACTCAGCTACATTGCTCAACAAAGTCAGCAGGACCACATCATCCACAAAGCATAGATATCATCCTGACGCCACCAAACCTGATACCTTCTAGGCCCTGGCTGTGTCCAGAAATCCTGTCTGTGAAGGTTTTGCAAGAAATAACAGTTGGACACTGACACCCAACGGGTCTAACAGCACCAAAACATGCTCCCGAACCAACTTTCCAACTGATTTGGTTGAATTCCTTCTCCAAGGCCACAAAGTAGGCCGACTGGACAAACTACCACACACCCTCAAGTATCCTTGAGAGATTAGCAAGCTGATCCATTGTTCCATGAATACAAAATTTCAAGGCAATTCATCAAATATATTAATATTTTATTTTATTTTTTTATTTTTGTCTTTGTTCAGGTTAACTGCACACGTCTGGGAATGTGCATTAGTTCAGTATGGTCAGTTTGGTAAGAAACACTATGGGTCAATAATTATGTCTTATTGGAAGAACGAACAAATGCTATCAGAAATGCTACGCGTGGAGCGTTTGAGTGCTGTGCTTGAGCTGGAGTGCTGTGCTTGAGCTGGAGGAAATTGAGCTCCAGCCTGAATTACAGAAAATGGAAACTAAGAAGAACAGACAGCGTCTTGTTAGCCACGGCATTAAAAGTGAGTATCTGCCTGTTGTAAGTTGAGAAAAGTGAGTTCTGGGTAAATTTACATGATGTTTAATGTACTTTACTAGAGCGTTTAATGAGCTAGCTGTCTAGCCTGTCTTCCATACTGGTGTCTGTACACAATCTTACAGTGCAATTTAGGCCCATTAACTAAAGTCTGGGTGTAAACACTCTCGTTTCATTCTGCGTGATATGACCCCATGACTATGTGATGTTGTGTTTGTGTGCCGATAACATGACGGCAGAGATAGGAGGTCCTGACTGAATCAGGCTATGTGTCACAGCATCTGTATGTCCTCATCACGGCGGAGAACGCAGCACTGACAGCCTTGCTTAGTTCGATTCTTTAAGGCAACATCACTTTAGATGTTGTGGAGTGGAGGTGGCTTGGTCTGAACTGGTGTAACATATGAGAGGTGATAGATGGGAGATAGGGGAGGAGGCGA